TAATTTTAAAAAATTATATTTAATTTTTAACGCTGTGCCCTAGCTTTCACCGGCTTTCCCTTCCAGGACGTTTTGGGTGGCCGCCTCCGTGGCGGGGTGCCAGGGCTCATGGGTGCAGGAAGGGCTGCAGGAGGGCTGTGTCTGCCCCCCGCCGGCTCTCATCTTCGTGTAGCATCCCCCTGGGAAGGTGAGCTGAGCCTCCCCGTGCCACTGCTCCTTGCTGGGGAGTCGGGGGATGAAATAAAAACGTGGTGTCTTTTATAATTTCACCCTTCTGCAGGCTTGCTGTTCGCCCTTGGAGCTGACTCCCTGCGTTTTCCGTTAAGTATTTTGTTGAAGAATGGGAAGAAAACGCTGCTTATAAAGATTAAAAATAAGGGAATTGCTAAAGTATGGTGATTAATGGTAGAAGAACATCACACTGAGGTTAAATCTGGGTGAGAAGATGGTGCGGCAGTGACATGGGAGGACAACGTGATGATGTCATGCTCAGCCGTGACATCACGTGCAACTAGCTGCCATTGGAGAGCAACATGAGGATGGAGATAGCATCCTCCCTCTCTGCGTTCGGGCTGGCCCGACTGCAGTGAGCCATTGGGCGAGGCGTGAAGGGTGGCTCGGCTGCGTGCTGTGGTTTGCAGAGACAAATTAAATGTAGGCACCCAAAGTCTGCCTGTGGGCGATGATGCTGGTGGGTGCCCGGGCCCAGCCGCGGGGCTCGGCAGCCCCCACTGGAGGGAGCGGGGCCGGGCTAGGCGATGCTGGGCTGCACTGGTGCCGTTCCCCACTCCTCACCCAGCATGACGTGACCTCGCTGGTGAGGTCCCCGGTCCAGCCTTGCTGGTGGTACCCACAGCCGAGACACTGTGCTGGTGGCCTCAGCACCTGCCTGCACCCCCAAACCACCCCCTGGGTGACTTCAGTCCCACCCCTGCCAGGCACAGCACTAGGTGCTCGTCCCACAGAGATCACCTTTATTCAGACACACCTGCCCGCAGTGACCGGCGGGGCCCGAGCCCCACGCTGCCGCGGCCGAGACACCTGGGGAGGTCCGAGCCGGTG